AAAAAAAAAAAAAAAAAGCCTGGAAACTGAGTACGAAACACTGGAACTGGGGCCGTCTGCCTCCTTCTCTTGTCACTAGTCACTGTTCTTGATCCTTCCCTGTCTCCAGAGGAGTTCACAGTCCACGGGGCAGAGAGTAGCTGCTCCTGCAGTGGCTCAGCCAGCCTTAGATTTCAGTCCTCATTGTGAAGTCCTTGAGAAGGGAGTTCGTCGGCCAGGCTTGGGCCCAGGCCCACGGCTGAGTCACTCGGGGTAGCAATGCCACACGTGAAGGTGACTATTCTCACTGTACAGCTGCAACTAGAGGGAGGGGAGGTGCTGAGGACAGAGAGGTTTGGGGGACGGTGACAGCCTAAGCATTTTTGCTTTTGTTTTTTGTTTGCTTTTAGCCCTGGCCATTGAGCCCCAGCCCTGTGCGCGAGCTAAGCACATGCTTTACCACTGAGCTTTCAATGCAGTGACCAAAAAGAAAAAAGAAAAAATCCAGATCAAAATTCAGAAAAGCGGGCCAGAGATTTAGCTCAGTGGTTCTGCTGCCTGCCTCACCAGCACAAGGACCCGAGTTTGATCCCAGGTACCAAACAAAAAACAAAAGACAAATCAGCAAAGGACTTCAGTGGACATTTCTCTAAATAATATAGACAACCACCAAGGACATGAAAAGATGCCCAGCATTATTAATCATTAAGGAAATGCAAGTCACAATAATGATAGGGTATCGCTTCTCACTTAGGAAAATTTTTTTAAAAATGGAAAGAGGGCCAAGGATTTAGCTAGAGGCACAGCGCCTGCCTGGCAAATGTGAGGTTCTGAGTTCGATCCCGGTACCCAAAAAAAAGAAGAAACGAAAGTAATGGGTGAGGGCAGGGATGTTGCGTTAGTCAGCTGACACGTAGAGCATAGGCAAGGACGCGTGCAGCCAAGCATAGGCGGTGTGTACGTTACTCGCAGTAGCAAAGAGGTGGAAACAACTCAAGCGTCTCTCAGCACATGAGTGCATGAAGGGAACACGACGTGCACGGACAAGTGGAAGACTTCCAGTCAGAAAAAGTAGTGATGTTTGGACATGCTACACATGGACCTTGAAGGATACTGTGTTTAGTGAAATAAGCCAGACAAGGAGGACAGATTTTAAATGATTCCACTTACGAGTCACCAAGAATAGGCAAATTCATAGAGAAAAAAGTAGAAAATAAGTTATCAGGGACTAGGGAGAGGGGGAAGGAAGAAGTTACATTGAGGCTGATGAAAAAAACTTGGTACAGATAGTGCTGATGGTTATACAACATTGTGATTGTATTTAATATCATTTTACAAATAGTTCATATTTTACCACAATAAAAAGAAGCTACAGATTTCAAAAGCTGTTCATATGTGTGACTTGAGATGTCTTAGTTACTTTCCTCTCATTGTTAAGACAAAATAGCTGACACCTGAAGTTAAAGGGGAAGGTTTATTGAGAGCTCAGTTTGTAGAGGTTTCAGTCCATAATCAGCAGGCTCCAAGGCAGGGTGGTATGGCAGAGGGGCCTCGCAGAGGAGAAACAGTTCATGGTATTCACCAGGGGGCAAAAGCCAGCAAGGGACCTTAATATTATCTTTCTGCCCCTTTTATCCAGGCTACTCAGGGCTGGCAGAACTCACACCCTTAACCCTAGTGCCCTTGAGCCTAGCATTGCGCCATGAAATCAATTCCAGTGTAACCCACTCTAGATCCAGCCACCTCTGAGAAAGCCCCTCCTGTGACCGCATGAGGCTTTGGGGACATCTAGACACAGCCATGACCTGAGGGTAAGGACTTGTCTTAAACTTGCAGTGACTGGCATTCATGAAGAAACCTGTCTGACAGACATAACTCACCTAGCAGATGCTTTCCAGCTGGGAAGCTGCTGTGGGCGTTTGCAGGTCTCTGTCCTGACCACCTCAGCTTTCCCAGGGGCTCTCATAGCTTCCTAAGGTCGTCTAAGTGTTGTGTGCGTCTTGCCCGTTTGAGCATCTTCTCCTCTGCTCGGAGCTCTCCTGAACCTCACTCTCCTCTCTCCAGTAGCCTCCTGAACATCTTTCTTTGCATATTCCAAGCATTTCAAAGTTAATACTTGTAGGGGCTGGGGATGTAGCTCGGCCATGCTGTACCTGCCTGGCAAGCACAAGGTACTGAGTTCGATTCCTGGTCCAGAAAAAGAACATAATATTTCTAAACTCACTCAACATGCATTATCCCTCTTATTTTCATCCCTTCCACCAGCACAACCATTTTCCTCCTTTTCCTTCTGGAGCCACTGTCTACCCTGTCTGGGGTAACCCTTCAAGCCTGCCTGCCCGTCTCCTCTGTCCAGTTACTGACCGAGTCCTTTCAGTTACTCCTTAACTCCTTCCAGATCTGTCCCTCCTGACTCTTCCTACCAGTCACGCCCACATTCAAGCTGTCTGTAGCTCTTGGTCTCTGACAGTTTGTTTCCTTCCTTCTGTTCTTGTTTCCCTGCCTTTAGTATGTACTTCATTCTTAATAATGTATAGGTTATCTTCAAGAGTAGATTTCATTCGTAAGACGATAAAGGAAGATATTTGTAGTGAGACACCCTTTTTGATACAATGAGACACATGGCCAACTGTGAACGGCACATCATGTTATAATTAGCGTGACAGACAGACGTGATCAGACAGAGTTGGACAAGAGAGATGACATCTGAGCTGTAGATTAAAAGAAAACTAAAACCTTTAGAAAGATGAAATGTGACAGTAAGATACTTTCCAAAAGAAAGGTATGAAAAGGGAGAAAGTCTTCTTTGGCTTCGGTGTAAAGTTAAAAGAATGTAAGGCTAGAAAGAGGGCCTGAACTGGCGGGTTTGAGCAGAGGGCTTTCTGTTCTGCCGTGGCGGTGAGGGAAGTGCCAGACCTATCTGGATGGAGGTTGTTTTAGTCAAAGTAGAGTGTAACTCCAGATAATAAAATCTACCTATTTAAAGTATATGCTTCAGAGAATTTTAATAGTGTTTAGTCAGGTAAACAAGAGCAAGTATGAATTTTTTTTTAGAAGAATACTCATCGGTACGCTTTAGATATACATAATGATAACATTCATCCTACGGAATTTGTACCACTACATGATACATCTTGCTGCTTCTTTTTTTCTCCCTTTCCTCCCCCTCCCTGTGTACAAAAGCTTTGTTTCTATTTTTTTCTTGAGCTTTTTCTCTTTTTTTTCTGTCCTTTCCCCATCCCCTTCTCATTTGAACGTTTTCTTCCCATTTCCCAATATCTATTGTACATTTTAGTCCTAATTTCCACTTATTTCACTTTCTCACACCAGACAAACAATACAGTATTTAAACATATGTGTTCCATTTATTTCACTCGAGTACAGTCTCAGGGTGCATATACTTAGCTATAAAAGTCTCAAGCTCATCCTTCTTTATGACAGAGTAGTACTCCATTGTATAAAAATTACACCTAAGTATGAAATTATTGTTCCCTAAAAAATTTCAGTTGGTCCCACCACCTCCTTCCTTCTACAACCACTGACCTTTCTCCATCATTGTAGATTTGCTTTTTCTAGGATTTTATATACATGAAATAACACACTGTGTAGTCCTTTGTGTCTGGCTTTCTTCACAGTGTGATGTGGAAATGCAGTTGGTTTTGAAAGATAATTCAGCCTTCTGAGCGGGTTTACCTGGGGACATGACAGTTGGAAAACAGGCGAGTTAGAAATGTCACTGCACTAGTTAGGAATGGAACACTGAGAATAAGTACCAGGGTGTTAGTGGTGAGAATAAGTTTTCAGAAAACCTTTGCAGATTATAAAAAGGCAGAAGTTAAACATGAAAAGGGGCTATCAAAAGTTAGGATTTGTGGTCAGAGAGGAGAGCTCAGGGTGTAGGATTTGGAGAAGGAATGTACTGAAGAGACAGCAGGGTCCGTGAGGGCACTTCTGGTATAGATGAGGGTCATTAGGAGAGGTTAGGACTGCATGATTCGCTGCTGTGGATGTCAGTGCTGTTAAAGACCTTGGATGAAACTCTGAACCAGATATTCATGCTGCCTTAGAAGGTAGAATGGTTTTGAGATTATTATAGACTGGAGAAAGCACTGAACAAGTGAATTGTATGGTACCAGAAGAAATGCCTGGAGAGGTTGGATGATAGAATCAGGCAGGAAGTAGGAGTGTGGCTGTGAGAACCAGAGACATCTCTACCTGGTATTTAAGAGATGGGGTTTTGCTTTGTTGCCCAGGCATCCGCCCGACTCAGCCTCCCCAGAGGAGCTGGGCTAGAGGCATATGGCACTGCACCCACCTTAACGTGTTCTTTCTATCCTGGTGTTGTAGGCCAAATAGTGCGCCACGCCCACAGATTCTTGCAGTTCATTGAAGCCCAGCTCCCCGTGTGATGGTGTTTGGAGTTGGGGCCTTTGAGAGGTGGCTAGGTCGAGATGAGTCACGAACGGCCCTACTCTCCTGTTGGGAACAGAGACTTAAAAGAAGCTTGCTGTCTCCCTCTGCCACGTGAGGCACAGCGCAAGGAGGCGGCCCTCCCCAGCACCGGCCATGCCAGGGCTGTGTCGGGACTTCCGCTGGCCGAGCCCCCGTCTGTGGGACCCCGTCTGTGGGACCCTGGCAGTCTCTTCTCGGCGAGCCCAGAGACGGGAGGAGGGAGCGCCTTCCTCAGTGAGGCCTTCAGGGGAAGCCTCAGAGCAGTGAGGAGCCAGGCTGCAGTCAAAGCCCAGGGAAAAGAACTTCCTCACAGTACAGCAGGAGTAAAAGAAGGGAGAAATAATTGGAACTCTTCGAGGTGAATTGTGTGCCCTCTCTCTTTGTCCAGGAAGGGCTATGTTAATGTGGTTCCATGATTTTTAGTTTTCTAAAGAGAACGCATTTAAGAATTGAGGTTCTTTTCCTGTAGCTGGTTCTTCCCTGGTCCTGCTGTCCTCGGAGTGCAGCGGTGTGTGGCTCAGCTGAGGCCGGGCGTAAGGATTCGAACTCGGCCTGCCGCTTAGTACCCATGACACTGAGCAACCATCCTAACCTGTTTTGTCTAAGTTTCTCATCTACTGCATGGGATGACATTTCTACCTCTCTTGGGGATTCTGTAAAGACTGAATGACTTAACATGTATTAAGTGCTCGGAATTGAAAGCCTTGTGAGACCCCCCCACAAACTGCTTGAGAGGCTGAGGCAGAATGATTGCTTGGGACCTGAATTTTGGAGCCAATCTGGGTAACACAGCAAAGCCCCATCTCAAAAAAGAATAATAATAAAATGAAACAAATAAATAAATAAAATGAAAGTGCTCAGAATTGGGCCTTCCTCATGTTGGGAATTGCAGTGTGAGCACAGTATTAAGGATGTTAGTTGCAGTTGTATCGTAGAGGACAGGCCCACCTGAGCAGTTGCTGAAGCCAAGACCCCACGATAATGAACAGTACTCATAGCTAAAAGTGTCCGCAGTCTCTGGGCGTGGTGCTATGCCAGATGCTTTACATCCATTACCTTCTTTAGTTCTCAGCACCACTGGACAAGTATGATCGCTCTCCCTGTTTTACTAGTAAGAAAATGGAGCATGAAAGCCTGCACATTAACCTGATCCGTTACATGTAGCCTATTATGCAACTCTGTCTTGAAAATTGACCATATTGTTTTTCCCATCTCTATTGACTGGTTTGTTTGTATCTTCTGTCTTTTCTTAGAATTTCCAGAAGATGTTAATCCAGTTACCAAAGAAAAAGGTGGACCCAGGGGCCCAGAACCTACACGATATGGAGATTGGGAACGGAAAGGGCGATGTATTGATTTTTAAGACATATTCTTTAACTTCATTGTCAGTCTCTGCACAATATACTCTGAATTTCTTATTTCAGATTATATTCTTTTCTGTCCTTGACGTTATTGTGTGTGTGTGTGTGTGTGTGTGTGTGTGTGTGTGTGTGTGTGTAACACCAGATTGAACCCAGGACCTGTTATGCTAGGCAAGTTCACTGAGCTACATCCTCAGCCCTAAATCATCTAATTTCTGTAATGTGTTTAGGGCCAGGGATTTAGCTCAGTGGTTCGGGTGCCTGCTTTGCAAGTCCAGGGACCCGAGTTCGATCCCCGGTACCAGAAAACAAACAAACAGAAACACTTCCTGTAATGTGTTTAAAAATATACATGACTTTGGAGGAAAATATACTTCTATAAATTAGGAAAAGGAAAATGTTTACATTAGGACATATTAACATTAACAGATATACTGGCGAATGTTAAGGATTATTAGAGCTGTAAACCTCTAATTCATAGTTTTTTAATTTAATGAGTTGCTTGTAAAATGTATGTGTAAATAAAATATTTGAAGTGATTATGTTGCTATCAGCTAGGTTAGTACTGGCTCTTAGAATGTGAGTTAAATAGCTTGAGAAGGCGCAGCAGTGGCAGAACGATTGTTAACCTTGAGCACGTTTCTCATCTCGGAGTGCTCGACCCTCTTGGTGTCTCCACGACCTTGGGAAAGTCGTTACATTTGCTGGGCGTGGCCTCCTTGTGTGTTAGTTGGAGGTGATGCTCGTTCCACCTCGGGAAGTCGGGAACAGTGAGTGAGCTGGTCCTCCTGTGTCACTCAGGGAGGGACAGAGACCGAGAGTGTTCATTATGAGGGACGGGCGCCTGCCATTCTGGAGGCCAAGGAATTCTGCGAGGCCGAGAAGGTCAGAGGCCCGAGGACAGAGCGACTAGTGACGTGAATCCGGTTCCAGGCAGCAGACTGAGGTGAGATGTCCAACTCACACCATGACGCAGGAAAAGGAAAGGGGTGGATTCACTTTCCTCTGACTTCTGTCCTACCAGACCCCAAACACTGGAATGATACCCATTCTGCCACACTGCAGACGGAGGGCGGCCTCCCTTCCCAGGTCTGCCAGCTCAGACGTTAATCTCAAACCAGGTGTCATGGCAAAAAGCTGTAGTCCTGGCCTCTCGGGAGGCTGTGAGGCTACTCCAGAGCCCTTGTGTTGGAGACACCCACTCAGAAACAAAAATCAAGGCAGAAAATGTGCGTCTCTTTCAGAAACCCAGTCATACACACATCCCGAGGTGGTGTTTAGCATGGGCACCCTGTAATCACCTCAGATGGTCACAGGTTCACTACTGCAGCACATGGGCCATCTGAGGCTGCATCATGAATGTATTTTCCAAATCCTCAGGCTTCCTGGGGAGAGATCACAAAACCAAAATATGAATATTTGAGTTAAAACTATTCATATGAGTTTTTAAAAAATCTTTTAAACTAAATACAATATTTTAATTAAAAACACTGATCATATGGGTGAATTGAACTGGAAAAATATGCTTTTTGGTTTTTTTTGTTTTTGTTTTTTTGAGACAGGGTCTCACTATGTAGTTGAGACTGACCTGGAACTCACTATGTAGCTCAGGCTGGTCTCGAACTCAAAGTGATCCTCCTGCCTCAGCCTCCCGAGTGCTGGGATTACAGGCATGTGCCAGCATGCCCGGCCTGTTTTTTAAATAGTTCAGATATGGAAGGAAAATGTGAAAAATGCAAGGGGTGGAATGGGCCAGGTTAGTCTGCTTTGGTCTCAAAAGCATTTGCCCTGTGTCCTTTGATAACTGGGTCAGGGACGTCCAGTCTAGCTTATAGATGTGAAATGAAGGAAAGACAGGAAATGCCAGTGACGGTGACCCTTCTAGGGACCGGGAGCCCAAACTGCAACCCAAAACACTTGTGGCCAAGTGCCAGCACTGCAGTTAAACCCGACGTCCTGTACTGGGACGCTGGGGTGCCAGCGGAGGGCCCTGTGTGCCTGCTTGGCTGCCTGCCCTAGGTTCGTCCCCACTGCCCCAGGGCATCCTCGGCTGCAGTCAGTTGCACAGGTTTTCCTTCGGCCCCTACGCTTTGCCTGAATCACTTAGAAGGGGCTTGCGGAGCCTAGGAAAGGCAGTGCAGTGGCCGATAACCGTGTTCTGTGAGTTGGAAGTCAGTTTTATTTCAGAGGATTGTAGGAGACTTGTTTAGGAGAACACATTGTATGCTCTCCAGAAACAACTCAAGTAGTGTGTGGGTTAGAACTGGTTGTCTACATCTGATTCTACCTGCAGTTAGTGTGTTTGCTGCTAAGTAATAACCACATATCTTTAAAGTATCCTTGATTTAGTCAATTTCCAACTGACCCAGATTAGTGAATATTTACTATTAATATTCCAAAAGTAGTATGTTAATTTTATAATGTACAAACATAGTAAAAGACTATAAAAAAATTAACAAAATTTTTCTTGAGTACATTAATCATCATGATATGTGATAGGGAAAAAACAATTTATGTACTTTGAAAATGAATATAAAATACATAATACTGGGCTAGGGATTTAGCTCAGTGGTTCTACCACCTGCCTTGCAAACACAAGGTCCCAAGTTTGACCCCTGCTACCAAAAAATAAATAAAATACATAATACCCAGTCTTGCATTAAGATAATAGAATCCTTAACTTGCTAATATTAATGTGTTTCATGACATTTATCAAATAATACAGGTAAAATCGAGGGCATGAAATAGTGGCGGTCTTGCTGCCCGTCAGACTTGAGTGGAAAGTCGGCAGATTACGGATCTGGTGCTTAGAGAAGGTGACATGGCAGGTGTGGACGCAGCCCTCAGACGTTCGGGGGGAGCGGGGCTGGTTCCTTACCCCGGGCCACCAGCCGCTGTGTGCTGCCGTCCCTGCCAGCCCCGCCCGTGAGGGCAGCGCTGGCTCTGACTGGGAGGCTGTGACGGGAGGGTCTCCATCCCGTGCCTACTGCTGTCTCCTGCAGCACACTCTTTCCGACTTAGTTCCATCTTGCCATCTTTTTGTTGTAGAATCCATATTAACATGGGTGATAACTAAACAACCTATAGACAAGTTTTCAGACAATGTTACAGAAAGCCTGTAGCTTCTTCTACTAGAATCATTAATCACCATTTAATTTTACATTGCTTGAGGGATTTCTTGGAAATTATAGGTTGAGATGATATTTGCAAGACTTACACCATGGAGTGTTTTTCATATTTGGTGTTGTTTTGCTGGCTTCACCTTTGGTGTATTATCCTCCAGTATTAGCTAGTCTGGTTTCTTAGCAAAAAATGACATTGTACTCTTTTAATCCTTCATTTCTAAAGTGAAACAAGTGATGTGTTTAACATGAGCCATAAGAGATCCTAAACATTTTCCCCTGTATTTGTCAGGAAAAAGTTATAATGCAGATTCACTCATTAAGAAATTCTGGTGCAAATTACAATATTACAAATAATCCTTTTTGTTTGTTTCACATGGAGACCTCAGCACCTCACCTAATGTGAGTGCTCCAGTAAGTAGTACACAAATTGGAAGCATCTTGGAATTTTTAAGTGTATTTCAATACATAAATTTGTATGCATGCTTTAAACAAACAGTTTTTAAAAATGAGAGAATCAGGGCCGGGGATTTAGCTCAGTGGTGCCACTGCCTGCCTCGCACGTTCGAACTCTGGTACCAAAAAAAATGAGAGAATCTAAACAAAAAGTATGACCAGCACCAGCATTTCAATTTTCTGATTTTAAATATTAGTCTGACAGAATGGTACAGTCTGAATCATCATTTGTCAAATATTATACCCCACTGCCCACAATATTGAGGCTGGTCATACGGCTATGTGTAAGCGGCTAAGCACAATCGTCTGCGGGCAGCCTCTTGTATAAACTGCTGTTGGGCAACACACAGACTGCCACAAAGATCTGTGCTTACAGGTAGACATTCAACTATGCCAATAAACAGCATGTCCTGAAACTATGGGCACATTGTACAACATGAAGACAACTATGAGCGAGTAACAAGAATCTACTTTAAAAGCAGAAAAAATAAAAACTAAAAAGTTACCGGTGTAGTGCGTGATTGATCCAACCTAGTTCCCAGGATCTATAGCGCGGCCACTCGACCGCAGACTCCTTCAGACACAGCCGCCGTCCTCCTCCGTCACGTAAATGATTGCACCGCCAGAAATGACAGCTCGTCGTCCTGTCTTTTGTAGAATCAGATATTGCAATGGCCTTTTCATTGTAATTATTGGGGGCCCAGGCAGGATCCCCATCTGCGCAGGGATCATTATACTGAGCTACTGCCGAGTCCTCAAAACTGGGAACGTCATCCGCTGGAGGAGGTAGTGGTGGAGCTGGGCTGTGGGCAGCTGGCCCAGCAGAGGGGGTGCAAGGTGGGTACAGCGGTGGGAGCCCAGTGCTGCCCTCTCCGCTTCCACGCCCTCCACGACCACTGTGTCCTCGGCCGCTGAGTTAAAGCCATCCTGCCTGGGCTGTGCTGACTTCCGGCTTTGCAGGACTGGTCATGCGGCATTGGAAACTGTTGGGGGTTTAAGAAGCTCCAGGGTTTTCTGAGGAGTATTCTGCCCAATGTTCCCCGGCCTGATGGGAGCTCGGTGGTTTCTGGGTAGGAACATATGTTCTCGACGGTGTGCCAATTCTTGCAGGCTGGTTATTTCCATGCTTGACGCCATGGCCCACGCCATCCAGAACTGTGTCGTCGGTAGGTTTTCGAATATACCTTACAGGGCGCTCCAAATTTGCAGGTGCTATTATTTTGTGAGTTCTTGGTGTATTCTTATGTCTTGTTAAAATACCAATTGCTCTTTGAGCCACTTTCTCTTTATGAGCATCCACAGTCTGGCACAGACGCTGGCCCTCTGGCCACTGCAGTTGCCGGGAACCGTGATAGTCTGTCTCTGCCTCTCACACCTGCCTGTGAGATTTGACTGGTGGAAGACTCCAGTCTCCGAAGCTGAAAAGCTTGGGTGTCCGGCCGCTGGGGTCCGCTGTTGGCCAGTGCATGTACTGGGTAAGCACCACTAGCTAGAGACTGGG